AATTTTAAGTCTTTCACTTTTATATGTATTCAATTTAGTCCTTAAATTTATATTTGCATCTTCATTTGGCCCATTATTAGTTGTTATTTATATTTTTGTAATTGACTCATGACTTTTTAAATGAGTATAATTTAGTCATTTTATATTAATTTAAACCTCACATTTTAAATTTATTTTGATTTGGTCCCTTACCTATGTGTGTTGTTTAATTTATTTTAAAATTTATTTGTAATTTACATTTCTTCAATTTTATCCTTAAATTATATTTTTTACAAAATTGACCCATGATTTTTTTGTAATTTACTCGAAATCATATAATTACAACTTGCAATTCAACAATCACGAAAAATGACAAATAATTAATCCAAAAATAAAAACAACCCGACCTGAACTCAACCCGTATCGGTAAATCAGACCTGAATTTTATCTGTCAATGATGTGACCCGATCTGAATGAGATCCGACTGAAGTCCACTTGAACCTGAATTAACTGGTCTTTATTGCTTCGGACCTAAACTGACATCGATCTAAACTGAAAATAACATGATCTGAACCGATTTGGATCTGGTGTAAAATCAACCTGAAATGACCCGAACTGATTTGACCTGTACCTAACCTAATCCAAGTCAAACCATCAAATTGACTTGACTTGACATGTACCTAATTTTACCGACCGACCAAGATCAGAGTGAACCTGTCCGATTACCTGATTTTACACCTTACGTACAAGGGATGAAATCGTTATTACAACTGAGGTAAAATGGCACCGTTTGGGATGCGAGTAGGGCGGTAATTTAAATTAAAGATGGTAAGTTATTCAAATTGATTTAGTCAAAGTTCAGTTAATTTTTAAATCGAAGAGTTAATTCGAATTTAAATTTGACTTGAATTTTTAATGAGTTGAAACGAATTACTTGATACATGATTCAAAAAGTAAGTAACTCAAAAATATGTATTAAATTTTTAGTTTTTTGAATTAAATTATTATTAATATTAATAACATTTATATGTTGTTTTAAGGTTTAATATAAAATTAAGTGTTCAAGCTATACCACCTTTTTTATATAGGTGTCTAAATGTTTTGGACAATTCAAGTATCTTATGTTATAAACTTTATCACTTTAAGTACCTTAACCGTAATGATCGTTAAAAAAATCCGTTAAAATACATGTGTCATATTTATATTTTTTAAATAAAAAATTCATTTAAAAATATTCCCACGTTCCTCTCTTCCCATTCGAGCACTCGTCACACTGAACAACCCTCATCGTCATCTTTTAATTCAAGATCAGTCGTCGATAGACACGAGGAGTATCTCTGTCCCTTTTCTTATACTTTAAATTTTCGTATTGGGGCAATACGCTTTAAGTGAAGGGGTCAAGTGGGAATTTCACCATGCTTATTCATGTTGGTTTGATGGGATATCTCGATGCTTATGAATTTTTTCTTGTCTTGGTAACTTGTTAGTTTTGTCATAATCCCTTATTTACAAGCTTGAGTTGATCTTTTTATGCATGAATAATTGATTTGAGTTAACAAAAATGATTTGATGAAAAGCTTTTAACCTTGTGGTATAATTGTTAGCGTTGCTTAAATATGAGCTTGTGCTTGTTTGACTAATGATATTGATGTAATCTTCAAGTGTTTAAATTTTTGAGCGGTTGTGAGCGCTTAAAGTTGTTTTGCAACTAATGGGCGATATTGTGGTTAGTCCAATCGAAGACTAAATTTCTAAGATTGACTTGGGAATATTGATTTACCGGAAGTAAAAGTAAGTTACAAGGGTTAAGCCTTGTAGACTATAACAAGCATGAATTCGGAATTAAAATCCCTATTGATGATCGAATGAATTGAGGAAGAGTGAAGCCTCAGGTTGTTTTTATCCATTTGCTTTTCTTTAAAATTTATTTTATTTACTTTCTTTTAATTCTTGAATTTTCTACCTCTCAATTTTAACCCCCTTTATTTTATTTTTTCTTTTCAGGATCAAAGTAAATCAACGTTCCAAAGTCCCTGTGGATCGATCATTCTTCTCTTTACAACACTTTATTTTATTTATTTATTTATTTATGAGAATAAGGAATTTTATTTGACAATTACGACTCTTGTCAATACCTAGTGTTATGACCAATCAGGATGATCGACGACATATAGTTAGTCGTTCGTCGATGGATGGGTGGCCGAAATGAACAACAATTAGAGTAAAGGTGACTAATAAGAGATTTTAAGAATTTGTGGTTATTTTTAGATTTTAAAATTGTTTAAGGTGTTTTAAAAATATTAATTTAATGTTTTAAAAATATTAATTTAATGTTTTAAAAATAAATTATTAAAAATATAAGGCTTAATTAGAAAATAAGTTCCTAAACTATACTATTTTTCCAAATTGGTGAATAAACTTTTTTCGATTCATCTAAGTGCCTAACGTTACAAACACTACCATTTTAGTGCATGAGGCATAACTACCATTAAATTCTATCTTTAAAGGACACATGTTCCATTCAGATAATTTTGAAAATTTTATTTAAAATAAAAATTTAAAATTGTATTTTTTTTAAAAAAGCCCTAAAATTTTCAAAATCTTAAAAAATCCTCAAACTTTGAAAACCTAAATTAATCCCTATACCAATGCTATCGTCACCCTTTACCATAGTCGTTATCATCGACTAACCTACCCCTATTGTGCCTCTATTAACGTGACGAACAACCACTAATGGCATGGTTTAAATCAATCGACGACACAACATTTGGGAAAATAATCAGACATTTACGTGATCTGACGATGCAAGCAACAACAAGGATGATGTCAGCAAAAAAGGGAGGCGACGTTGGCAACATCGATAACATCAACTATGGTTGGGATTTGGGGTTTGGGCCAGGGTTTTGTGGTTGATTTTAGGGACTTTCAAAGATTTGAAACTTTTTTTGTAATTTTAGAAAATTAGAGTTTTTTTTTTTTGTAAAATAATAATATTTTTAAGTTTTTAATTTAAATAAATTTTTTAAAATTTTATAAAGGTGACACGTGTCTTTTAACAATAGTTACGATCCAGACACCTAAATTGATAATGTTTGTAAAGTTAGGTATTTAGATGAACCGAAAAAAGTTTGGACACCTATTTGAGAAAAAAGGTCTAGGTGTTTAACATCCATTATGGCCGAGACACCTAAAGTGGTAATGTTGTAATGTTAGGCACATGGATTGACTGAAAAAAAAGTTAGGCACTTATTGAGAAAAACGATATAGTATGTGCACTTATTTTTATATTAAGACTGTTGAATTAAGATTTTGATATAAAAATAATTTGCAAAATTGGTTTTGGACTTAATTGAATTTTTCAAAAATAATTCAAAGTCCAAATTAACTTGAAAAATATGTTTTAAATGTTTTCCAACTTAGTCGAACCTTTCAAAACATATTCAATTTTTCGCACTTTAAAGTCGAGTTTCCAAGCATTTTTGGCTCAAAGGATTAATTCCTTAGCAAAGAATCGATCCCTTTGACCAAATCGATCCCCTTGAAACAAGATCGATCTCAGTCCTCGATGAAAACGGTTGATCCTTTCACCAAAAGGATCAGTCCCTCGATGAAAAGGATTTATCCCTTCCCTTAAAATGTCGACCCTTTCTTGCAATGGCCAAATTATTTAAACAATGGTCAACCCCTTTCACCAAAGGATTGATCCCTTGTATATTAAATGTTGTTTTTGGTTGTAGGTAATGACTATAATGATCATCATCGGCTCCAAACAGCTAGAGTTGATAGAGAAAGTATAAATTGAAGGTCAAAACATCCCAAGATCAACAAGAATAATATTCATCAAATATACTAATATCAAAAAAGTGTTCTTCCTTCATTCACTTTGTCAAACTACATTATTTTTTTGCTCAAGTGTGATTTGGGTGAGTGCTTAAATTGTGCGAACATATTTACCTTGTGATGTTTCTTAATTGTTTACTTATTTGTAATTCCTCTTGTGGAGAGAGTCTAAGCAAGGTTTTAGGGTATAAATCCGGTGTGTTGTTGTAAGGTTACACCTTATCCTCAAAGGTTAGCAAATCTAGTGGATTTGAGAAATCCTTAGTATGAATGTTAAGGTAGTTGATGTAGACTTGGTTTAAAAGTCGAACTACTCTAAAATCGTTGTAAAAATCTTTTTATTTTCAGTTGCTTCCACAAATTTTTTAAAAGGCCAATGTACCCCCTCTTGGCATTTTTCGTAAGAGCTAACAAAACCTTTTTTTTAAATATAATATAAGGTTTTTATGTACTTAAGGTTTAAGATTGAGCTTGAGTTTGATATTCAATTGAGCTAAGTTTGAGAATATTTCGAGTTTAAGTTTTTCAAGTTTGAGTCGAATTTCAATTTTTGATTTTTCGAATTGAGATTAAAAGTTTAATCTTGTGGGCTTTTTGAGTCGAGTTAAACTTTAGTTTTTTATTTTGGTTCAAGCTGAGCTTAACAGTTTTAATCTCGTGAGTTTTTAAGCGAGCTGAGCTCAATTTTATAATTTTTGAATGGAAACGAACCAAAAAACTACTCATTTACTGCAGTAGGCGCAAAGGTGTCGAAGACCACAAGTGATGGATAAAAAGCAAACGGGGATGGGGCTGTGAATAGCACCGATGGTGCTGTTGCAACCAGGGGCCTTGGCGTACAGTGGGATGATCATGGCCGATGGCTCTATGGTTTTCCAGGAGCCTCGGCGTTGTTCAGTCTTACAATCTGAACTTTGGGCTATCCTCAATGTTATCAAACTTACATGGAATATGTATTAGCCAACATCTGATCAACTCACCTATAATTTAATTGAACTATCCTTGAAATATATAGACATCAACTTAGATTGAAGTAAATAACCTACACAATATTTGTATACCCATCACCTTAGATCATTAATGCTATTAAAGTAATGATAGAAGCAGAAGATTATTTTTTTATAAAAGAAGCAAAAGTGTAAAAACTGTAAAGCTCGATGTGTGTTCAAGTAGAGTTTCTCTTAAAACTGGACACTTGATCGCTTAATAGAATCGATCCTCTGCAGCCTGATTTGCTCTCTTACTTTGGCTATGAACTCGTCTGCCTTCTTATCCACATCGGAACCCCCATCATTTCCACTGCTTGGATTTGCTTCCTCCTTGTTTGGGCTCCTTTCGCTTGAAACGATGGGAGTTTCACCAGCTCCATCGTCCTCACTCTCCGAATCATCGTCACTAGTAGTTTCGACCATCACCTTTTCAAAGGAAACCTCATTACGAGTCGAGGAAGAAACAGGTTTCAATGACGGTGGTTTTTGAGTCATCGGTGGTGGCGGAGGAGATAGGGACGACTTCGGCGAAAATTGAGGCGGCGAATGGGGCAACTTTGGTGAAGCAGACATGGAATTGGACCGAGACAAACGCATGCTTTGGGACCTAAATGACCCAAAATTATCTTCTTTCATTTCCTTTCTTCCGGATCTTGAACGCCATGGAATTGGTGAAGGAAGAACAAACATTATTATTCTCACTCCATTCGTACCTTTTGGAACTCAACTTAGAATTAGACCTCCTAAGAGGGTTAGAATTTGCACGACTTCCCTACTTGTCTCGTTCAAAGCACGCGATTTCAAGCTCCTAACAGGCAAAAGCAAAGGCTTTTCAGGGTTTCCAGGACTAGAACTTGTTTTCATCAACAACACTGCGTTCTTTAGCTACAATCATGAGGTTCGTTCCTATAGTAAAGGCTACTCCAGGTCTGGACCTTGATATCATCAGACCCAGATAGTTTTCAGCTTCTTCATCGAAAACAGATGAAACCTGAAGGAATCTGGATATCAAAGACTGTACGTCTTCAAACTTGGATTGATTGTTATAATTTTCCTTCTCTGTTTCATCGGTTCGTCGGCTAAAAAGGCCGTAAGAGACTGCTATGCCAACGAATAGAAGGTGAAGAAGCTCCCAGTTTCTATTGAGGAGGGTTTGGTTGATGAACTCGGGCGCTTGTGAGGGCAAAACTTGGATTACAACCCAGAAAACGAAGACCAGGAGGGCTTTGTAGAGGAAAGGTGTATAATACTTACTCGGGTTTGCTTGGTTTTGTTCTTTACTGGTAACTGGTGTTTTCTGTAGGAGTTTACATCTTCCATTGAAGAAGAGGGAAAAAAAAAAAAGAGTCAGGGAGCGAAAGAAAGGTTGTTTTGGTTTGTTTGTGGGAAGAAAGCATATTTGAAGGTAAGCATTGGTTAATGTTGGTGCTTACTTTTTAGCCTTTTTGATGACTCAGATATTCTTGGGGTCCTTGCTTTTAAGGTAAGGGAAATCAAGTTGCCTCACGTATCATCCATTGCAATGAGATTTTACAGGCAGCGATGGTGAGACGACCCTACTACTGTGGTTACCTAAAATTTTTAAATTTTAATATTTTTATTCTTTTTATATTTATTATTAATTAAATTCTATTTTTTAAAATATTTAAAAATTTTTTCCTATATATTTAAATTCATCTTCTAATATAAATTAGGTTTCCGTCCTATTTAACGAGTCTACTGGTATTAGAAAAAAGCAATCCAGGATCTTCACATCATGATATATGCTTTTGTTTCCGACATTTTGGAGGCAAAAAGCTAAAAGAAGTTTGCATGTTGAGTCATCTAGTTGGACCTGCAATCTGCAATATTTGATAACATATCCTTGCCTTTTCTTTTCACTTATTATATCAGCATTAAGGCAAAAAGCTGTTCCAGAAAAAACTTCCTCAGCTTAGCTCTGATATATATTTGTGGTGGGAATTGCTCCTACCGGAGAAAGAAGAATCTGAGTGGGGGATTAGGGGCAAATAGGTTGCGTCTAGCTAGCCAGGATTCTTCTCTGGACTGAGTACGCTAACTTCCTCTTTGGTGAAATTACCTATCAGATCTCTCTATTATGAGGACCTATTCAAATTACTCCCTCTACTACTAAATAGATAAAAGTTTTCTTTGACAGAATTCAGTGATATATATGAATTTAGTTCTACAATTATATCCGCAACTATTAGACGGATGAATTGACTCAAAGGTAGTATATGTTCAGAATCTTTCATGATCATTAACAATAAATATACACTTTACAAACACACTTGCTCGAACTTGAGACTTATGGAGAGAACAACAACCATTTATCACTAAGTCACGTAATAAATTCGTTTGAATATATTTTAAATTAAAAAGAAAAGTCCGAATCTAGTCATTTCTTCATCAGCATACTTGGAAATACTCAAAATACCTTTCCTAGGAGCAGGAGCAGCCCATGTGAAGAGAGTGTGAAAGTGGTGCCCAATTCCATGCAAGGTTTAATTAAAGATTGAAGAGATAATGATAAATCCTGATTACTGAAAAAGCTTGAAGGTATCGTGCTTTCTACAATTTGGGTCGGAAAGTTAAAAACTTTGGACAATGGATCTGATTCCTTCACAACCAATCCATTCAAATTCTTTCACTCTCACTAACGATCAAAGCTTGAAACAACTTTTTGGCCTTCCTCAATTATTATAATCCTTAAACTTTTACTTTCTTTTTAATCTCAGAATTTTACTTTTCGTTAAATTAACCCGAACATGACGAAATAATTCGTTTTTAGATTATTGAAGCTCACAAATGTTATCGTTATAAAAAAAATGTTAAAGAATGAATGTTGAATCTGCCATGGAAGCCTAGAAGGGAAAATAAATCATAGTAGCTGGAACCATTCATATCTCTACAAATATGAATTCGTATCGTATTCTGGTGCTAGCAGACTGTGTATGTATTCATAATAAACGCAGTTGAAGGCACCGTTAGGTTTTTCAGTTTTAATTTCAACGTTATTGTACATGATCTTTAATGAATTCATAATTCAGTTCACACAATACTGTGTAAATAAAAAAATTTAAGGATATGGCTTAATCTTCCGCAAGTCCAAGCAATTCCTTAATGAAGCTTTGGGGCCCAACGGTAGGATGATGATCCATTGAGACGAGTTTGGATGACGCTTTCCTGCAACAAAACCACTACTTGCTTTCTATCACGGGCTTACCATGACCTTGCGATGAGATCCCTGAACTTCGACATAACTACTCCGAATGCTAGTCGCCGGAGATTCTGAGATGACCTCCGGAGACGTTAATGTAGTGAACTTTCCTGCATCAGCGAAGGTTTTTAAACCAATCCAGGCCTCCTCGTAAAGCTTTATTTGCATAGATATTGACGTGAATTATGTGAAGCATAATACTAAACTAGAAACTGAGGGTTATTTTAGGGGAACCAAGTTGAACTTTTAAATTCTTGAGGTACGAACTTGAATTTGTAAAATTTCAGAGGCGAAAATAGATTTTAATAGAAAATTCGTAGAAAAAATCTAAAATATATAGTAATTTAAATTTTCAAGCTACCATCCTCGGTTTCATCCCTGTTGCCACATTTTGTTGCTATCCTAGATAAGTATCAGGTCATTCGAATTCATACACAAGATATAATTCAGTTTCAATCATAACTGAAAAAAATGAACTTTTGCATGGAAAAATACCGTACATCTTGAGGCCGAATGACCGGCTTGAATGCCCATCTGGGTAAAATCCGAACTAGGTTCCTTTGGTATCGAAACAGTGTCATGCTCAAACTGTTTGAGTTGAAGATGAGCTGGATTAACCGATAAATTTGCAGAGTTTAACATTATCCGTAACCCGTGGAACTTCAGCAATGAACTTGCATTCGTCAAAGTAATAAATCCAAACTCGTTTATATCTTTTACTTCGCAAACGTCTTAGTAAAATTCATCATTCAAATTGTAAGCATCTTCAGATGAGCTCAATTTGAATGAGAAAGGCAAATTGGTAAGAGTCAAAGGATGCTGGATATGGTTTTCATGATCCGCAGTTTTGGGTATTGAAGGATGGCATTGAAGATGCATGTTGAAGTTGCACGGAGAGCCGATGTTTTTGTAACAAATGTGACAGACATGGTTGCTGGAGTTGTTGAAGAGAGTGAAAAGGTGACTATGAGCGTGATATTTAATGAAGGGTATGCGGCTAACGCACTTGGTATGGAGGTTAAAATCGCAGTTCGAACATCGGTAGACTAGAAGAAGTGCGTGAGAGTACTTTTGGACCATGCACAGCACAGCAGGGGGGTGGTGTCCTTTTGAGGAGGGAATGAGAGCTTGAGAGGGTGTTTGGTGTGCAAGAATTGTGAATCTTCCGTGCTTGAAGGCTAACTCAATGGGTGTAGCCCTCAAATGGATGTCGGATTGTGGTGAGCCAGTTCTCACGTGCTTTGCATCAAACCTGACTAAGAATGGAATCCTTGGCCACTTCTAGAAGTAACTTTAACGGACGGATGGGTGAAATGCTGAATCTCCTTGGCATTTTTGGAGTTTGCTGTAGGAAGGCACAATTTGCCATCCAAATAGATTTTACACTTTCAAAGAAAGAGAAGCATTTGTCATCCAATAGATTTTCACTTTTCTCAATAGAAAGAGAAGCCTAGGCATTCTTCGTCGCATCCACGACAACAACAGTGGCACTTGTTGCAATTGATAAAACGACTGGTTGACTGTCATGGAGCTTCCATGTGCATGATTTATGGCCATAAAGTTGCACTTCTCTCAAATATAGCAGGATCAGATCGAAGTTCCCTACATACATCACAGCAACTACTTGTAACATCTTCATTGTGACTATCAGAAAGCTTCAACGGATGCCTATGGTTGAAATTATAATCATATAGGCACCTGGAGATGTCAGGGTCGGAAGCAGCGCACATTTTGCATCTAATCTGAAATGATATCTTTCATAGCCAAAATCAAGCTCAAGAGACTTATGATCATCGCAACCGGCACACACATACATGTATGTGAACAACATAAGTGGGTATGGGCAGAAGAAATGATTGGCCTTTGGTGGAATGGTCGCCATGCAAGTGTTATGGAGGAAGGAAACAGTTGCTGAATCGGCGACCATAAACTGAATCATAGCAGAGGTTTTCACATATGGCAACAGCAAACCCTATCTACCAAGTTTATAGCAACAGGTTTCAACGGATGCTGATGAGTGAGATGTAGAATGGCTAGGTCATCCTCAGCATCTTCAGACTCTATGGGAGGCTTGAGGCATAATACACATGCATTTGGAAATTACATTTGTATTTACAATGTCGCGGAGGCCATTGCCCCGATCGAAACAACCATAACAGTATGAAGATTTCTGCAATGCAAAGCAATGCAGATTCATGCATTCATGACAACAACAAAAAATTCCAACTTTCATCTTCGATTAACATCGAAGCATATAAATGGAAAAAAAGCCAGAACACAATATTTTTCTGAAAAAAAGATGAAGGAAGACATCTAATGGTACAGAACTGATCACCCATGTTTTAAGGGTTATATGGTAACAAATCTAGACCTTCATGCGATAGCGAAGGAGATATTTAAGCCTGGCCGACTTTTTTAGAATAAAAATGAAGTGCATAGCGTCATCACTATACCTTGAAGATATCTGAAT